TCTTTGATGAGAATCGAGCACTCTTTTTTATCCTAGACAATTAGTAATACCTTGATGGGAATGTCTCATTCTATTCCCTTCATTATTGGGTTGGTAAATATGCACTATAAGTAATATCGATGTCACGCATTTCATTTTCATCATTTCAGGCTCACTAGCACATATTAGTATAGCATCAGCGGCGGAATTAGCACGTATTAGCAGAAGCGTCATGGTCACTTTAGGCTCACACGTAACTCCACTCCTTTGTAACTTAATACCTAAGGAAAAGAAATTCAGCTTCTAAAGCTACCTTAGGTGGGGATGAGAAAGAAACGAGAACAAGAATAATGTTAGGATTGAGATACATGATGAGTTCGAACTTTTTGATAGTTATTGAAAAAGAAAATCAAACTTGATATATTCCAAGACCGACCCATCAAGGAGCTTAAAAGTAAAAATGATTGGGATCGATGGCTGTGATTGATGGTAGAAAGCTTTCCCTTGAACCATAAGATAATTTTATTCTACGTACAATGTCTCTTGGTCTAATTAATTCCAATGCAGCAAGTTATTAGGTCTCTAATTATAAATTTAAAACTCCGATCAATGATCCATCAATTGAGTGCGAATATGCGGGATGATTAATTAGGTTTACCTGCCATGCAATTCATTGTTCGAATTGACAATAACATTATTCTTATCAGTAATGGTGGTTTATTATTATTATTAACAAAGAATATAAGATGATAACACTACGTGCACGATATTAAATCTTACTATCAGTAAAACATGGGATCAATTGATATCATCAATGACTTCATCAGCTGGTTAATCTTGCACACTAAGTATATCTACTTAATTTGTTTAATTTTACCACGTAATATTATTATAAACATTTTCAAAATACGACCCCGATTGCTACTTCAAAGTAAAGTTAGGTACATACATGGAAGCAAGTCATATGTCTAATAATTTACAATATTCACCAAATGGTTTCTTGATGAAGACAAAATCTAAATCAGTTTGAATCTTCGTATGAGAAAAAGACTTGCCCTTTAGTTAGTCTAATCTTAGCTCACTAATTGGTTTCTTGATGTACAAATAGACAAAGTCTAGATATAATTGAAATTTCCACGTCACTAGGGTTGCTTCCCGTGAAGGTAATTGGGATTTTTGACAAAGTCTAAAAGGATCAAAAGTGACACATATATATAGTGACACAAAGTGCATTGTCAATTTATCATGAAAATTAATGGCGTTGTTTGATAAAGAAAGACAGTTCCCCTGTTCAAACAATGCCAATAATAATATATTCGTTTGTATATAAGATACTTTTACAACGATCCAGCACATTCACATCAAAGTTATACCATTACAATGAGATTAGCTATAAGCAGGTATCGAACTTATCACAAATATATATTGTTGTTGACATTATTCATGTGAGTCGAACCTGAAATCTCCTCAAATCAAGTGAAGGTAGATATACCATTAACCCAAAAACTAGTTGGTAGGTCTTTGTTTTCTTAATTACAATAGTTAACAAGCCTTATGAATTGTCATGTTAGGATTGGCAACAAAGGCTCTATTATTTGCATAAATGAAGTGTTACTTATATGGTATAGGGTCCCCACACCATGAAATTAAGCTTAGCCAATTTTGTTTTAGATAAAGCTCAGTCTTAGTCATGTGCTTTAATTTATATATTTATAACAACATTATTATTGCATGCATGCATGCATCTGCCAAGTTCTCGATTGAAAAACTCAATTTCGCAGCCACAAATTAATTATATAATGCAATCCAATAAGCAATAATATATGCATACAATGACTGGTAGAAAGATAATATTGGGAAATTGGCAATTTGGTTGTAGCTTTTGCTATGGACAAAAATCATTGAATTATTTGAACATCGTGGTGTCGGCCACTAGATGCTAATTATGTCATATGCTCATGTGAGTGAATGAGTGAGAGGGTCCTAGTTTTTTGTTTTTATTTTTTAAATATTTTTTTTTAATTTTTATTTATAATTTTTAAAATTAAAAAAATAAAGAAAGAAAGAAATTCATTCATTAATCATGAAAAAGAAACACCAGCAGCAAGAAGAGGGGTCAGCCAAGCAGGCTCCTCCTCAATCCATGTTACATAATTTGTGCAGCTTAACGCAAACCGCGCAAGAAAATGAGCTACTCTATTGCATTGGCCATGTTCACTTCTTCAACCAATGCACCGTCTCTGCCTCATAACTTTCGTCCCCCGAACAAAGAGCTTTGATAACCTCCCTTTGCATCCATTTCCAAGATTACACCATAAAATCCTAGACCCAAAGCAAATTGCATACCTTACATTGCAACTAAGCTAAAACAACATAATAATGTAAATTAATATTTAATGTGGGGGGCTCTGTGCGATCGCTTACTTTACTGATGCCAAACACCTCTCCTCCTGACTAAGAGTAATGATTAGTGTATATATATCTTTAATCAACCGCTAAACAAAACATTTTTGGCTTTTGATCATTCCTACAATCAATACTTACCTTTAGTATAATTAGTATTTATATCTTTAATTAGCAATTGCCTAATTGGCTAGTAGAACAAACTATAGCATTAGTGTTTGATATATAAATATATATATCTTTAATTATTAGTATGGTTCCCATGGGGCAATGACATGCATATATATATCCACTCCATTAATTATTTACTAGGTACATTTAAGTATTAACATGTTGCACTATTGGTCATTGAATTTCCATATCCATGCAAAGGTTTCTGATTTATATTTGAGAAGAAGATAAGGATTATATAACTAATGCAGCAGAGCAGCACAAGTGTATATAGATCTAGCAGCTAGGAATATGTTAAACACGAGAGAGAGAGAGAGAGAGAGAGAGAGAGAGAGAGGATAAGATTTAAAAAAGGACAGGTACTTCCTTGAACAAGATCAAACAGATTTGCAATAATAGTAAGTGTTCCTGTCTTTTTTGTGAGAGAGAGAGAGAGAGAGGAATGATAAATATGATCAATTTGGGGTGGAAGATAACCTTTAAAACAACATTAAAAAGACGAAAAGCTCTGAACTTTTCATCATTTGCAGAAGAGAGAGATCTGTGTCACATTTTCAAATTACCAAATTGAGCAAAAACAAAGACCTAAAAAGGCAAGTTGCATAGGTTAGAGAAGTTGCTAAGGCCAAAGTTGACCCTCATGATTCTGCAGGGGCGGATCGAACATTGATATATATAACTAATCCTATGAAACAATAAGCATCTCAGGTATCTCTTTATATATCTTAATGAGTTGGAATTCACGTTACATATGATATGACCATCCACAACGTGCAATCAAGTTTTCAATTTCATGAATTTAAGTTGACTCTGGACAGCTGTTGTGCTGCAGAATCTGAAGCGTGGCCTGTTTTCATGTCCCTCAACTTCTCACAAAACCCAATTAAAATCAAATTGAAAACTAAACATAAGTTTCCTACATATGTGCACGTACTAATTTACAAAGTGACAGCGCATAAGTTTCTTAACTAATAATCCCTTCCCCAGTTAAGCTACCAGGAATCTAGTACATATATAAAAACCTGGGGAACAGTTTTTATTCATATTTTTGCTGACAGTTAATTGATCAAGGTAGCATTGATCAAATGGATAAGGCAACCAACAAATCACATCATAAATTCATAATCCATGCTTCTGATCGATGCTGTCACTGGTCAGTCAGTGTTCTCCTAGATTTCCTTTTCTCTAGTTAATAGTTAATACAAACAATCAAAATTAACTTACTCCTTTTTCAGATTAGCATGCAGTTTTCTATGCTCTTCTGCTTACTCCTTTTTCAGATTAGCATGCAGTTTTCTATGCTCTTCTGTTTTATACACTGTAATTCCTCTCTCCCCCTCTCTCTCTCTCTCTCACTCTCTCTCTGTGTGCTATGCAGAGTATATATATTTTAGAATATATGAGTCTCCATGCAGTTCAGGTGATGATAAGTTGAGATGAGTAAGATATATATTAGATATAATAACAGGGGAAATATGTGGATTTTGTTGTATCCCTTGGCATTAAGAGGACCACATGCTCCAACGGAAGACAAGGCACTTGATCTGTTTTCCATGTTTTCAAAACTAATATTATTATTGAATATATGCCATCTGGGGGGTTGCAGTTTCGCAGGTTATACCTTCTTATTTAGTCTTGAACTGTTGCTATACACAAGTCCACAATTTCCAACCAATATTATTGTTGTTGTTGTCCTTTTCATTCTCAATTGAAATCCTTATCATCATCATTTTAAGAAAATAAAATAAAGGCATAGTTGCATAATTCAGCAAGGCACGGAAGAGAAGAGACTAACATGGAAATCAAATTAACAGTTCTTGTCCTATGCGGATATTATTACCTTGCAGATGCTATTATAAACATGGAGGGATAGTAGAAAACATATGACGTTCGTACAGTAATAACGTCTGAACATCCATATGGGAGAAAATCTGATCAAATTAAACCCCATAGTTTTGTTTATAAACAAACTGAGCTATGAAAGTGCAAAGTGGCAGGCCACACATCAAAAATCTCCAACAATAAGATTTGGAAAGAAAGAAAATGGGTAGGTACAAAACTTAAAACAGGACTGATTGAAGGGCCGAGAAAGGTTTTTATATGGGCTTTGGGCCATAATTATTACACACAATCAGGCTGTATGTAACTGTTATAAGATGATTGTGTGGACAGGCCTGATTTTAGTATCAAACCCAATATAAATAAATTGGGTTCAAACTCTGACCCAAAAAAAAAAGGAATTGGGTTCAAAACAACAACATTCACAAAATTCCAGTCTTTACATCTTGTGCAAATCAAATCACACATCACAGAATTGGACATACAATTTGCCCACTACCCATGAAAGAATTGCATCCTTTAAGCCTTAAGCATGGCAGATCATGAACAAAATCAGCACCAAATCAGAAAATACACACAGCACATAATAATGACTCTAAATCAAACCATTCACAAAACCAAAACTTGAATTACTCCAAAGGCGCCAAGATATGCAAGAACATTGTAGAAAACCCAATCAAATCCCCAACCGACTCTGCTTGCTGAGAGGCGTCTTGCAGAGCTCAAACTGAGCAAGCAGCTCAGGGTCTCTGAACCCAACAAGAAATTGGGCCAACCCTTCAAGAAACAGAGCACCCTGGTAAACGTTAGTTGCGCCCATAATCTCCACAAGAACACTCTTCCTCAACCTATTGGCATCCACAAAAACCCCCACCATCTCCTCATTCTGCTCCGCCATCGCATCCTCCACCGCGGGCTTGTGGGTCCCAAAAGCCCAATTCCTCGCCACGTGCTCCAAGAAACCGACCTGCGCGTCCCTCGCACGCCCCGCAAGCGCCGGCACCATCAGCCGCAGCCCGCGCTCCACCTGCTCGACCCTCTCCATCAAATTGTACGACGGGCTCCTCCACGCTGTCGCGATGTGCCAAGGCCGGTCGAAGGAGTCCCTGTCTCCTCTGTCTCTGGCGCAATGAACGACCATGCTGTCGCCGTCGTTTTCGTTGTCGGAGTCGGTGTCGTTTTGGGTGAGGAAGGAGCGGAGGAGGTTGGTGAAGAGGTAGGGGTGGAAGTCGCCGAGGAAGAGGAAGGGCTTCTCGAGAGGGTTGCGCCAGGTGGGGCAGAGGAGCTGAGCAACGTCGTTCTGGGCGGCAAGGTCGAGGGCGTCGTAGTAGGACTGGAAGTGGAGGTGGAGGGCTTCCATCTGAGTCGAGAGCCGAGTCAGGGACGAGTCTGACTCGGACATTGAGCTTCGGAGAGAAGGGAGGAGCGTGTTCTTGAGGGTGTTGAACCATTCTGCGTAGAAGTCTTTGAATTGACGAGTTGTCTTCTTCCGGCCAAAGAGACCTGCAAGATTAAGGAATTGGGTTAATTGAAAATGGAGATTAGGAGATTAATTAAGGTGGATTTTTGAGACGATTAGAGAAATGTAAGAGTGAGATTGAGAAAATTACCTACTGCTTTGAGCATCTTTGGAGATGGGTTTTTCAGATTCTTGGTGGGAATTCTTGGGTTTTTTTGTTTGATTCTGTTTTTGGGTTCTTGTGGTGTTCTTGTAAGGAAGAAGAAAGGAAGAGGATGATGATTTTGATTTTGGGAAGTTTGGTGATGAGGTGGAGTTTGTGGAGGGAAAAGGGCATTTAAAGGGTGGCTGGGTTTTTAATTTTGACAAACCAAAAACTTTATTGGGCTGAAAAAGTACACTTAAATTGAGGAATAAGAAGAAAAATCTAGTGACAGCCCAAGTAAAATCTTTCCTTTTTTATAGCAACCTCAATTAAATTCGAACTAGGGAGTTTTCTATTTTGATTTTTTTTTGGGGATTAATAAGTGGATAAATTTCCTAAATAATCATTTTTTATAAAAGTGTCTTTTTAATTTTTTATTGTTTATATTTTCAAAATCCAAAACAAATTTAAAAAATAAAAAACAAATATTCATGGGATAGCACTCTGCATCAAATTTCAATTCAATTATTTGAGTAGGGGGTTTTACACAAATATTCATATGGGTGTCTGTGGTTTTGAATTTGTCCACATAAGTTGAGGTGGAATAGCTCAACCAACTGAGCTATATCTCACTAACAATTGCAATTCAATTATTTAACATTTGCACTTGGACTCTTTCTATTGAGTTTGAAACCAAGTCAGTTAAAGACAAGATGGATTTGCAACTGCCAAAGGCCAAAGGAGGGCAGAGCCCCCCTCATACTCGACCTTGGCAACAAGTCTTAGCCGCCAAGGGCTGATTCCTGCTTTGCCAAGTCTTTTGAGGGTTTATCCAGTTCTCCAGATTTCTGCTCACATTAATTGTAACATATAAATTAGATTTGATTTTTAATAGATGCAATCCATTTAGCTCAAACCCAATTAAGCTTAGGGTTCTTTATGTTTGATGAGATTAGGCTCAAATAAATTTGGGGATCTAGTTTTCTGTTTAATTAATCATGAGTTTAAGGAACATTAAGCTGTATTAGTAGGGACTTACCAAATGTGATATTGACTAGAACAAGTCTTGCAACTTCTTTCTAGTTTGCTCTTCTCACGAACTTCACGTATTATTATTTGCCCATTTGACTTACAAGAAGACTTCCACCCCCCAATTTAAAATCCACAAATGAATACAACTTGTATTGTAAAGCGCCGAAAACAAGCCAAAATCCACCGAAGCAGGAAACGCCGCCGTATTACCGGAGCCGTTATATCCACCTCACCGACATTGACGGGTCAAACCCCACGTACCATGCACTCATCTCATGCAGTTAAAATAAAAAAAAACAACCTCCTTTCTCTCTCTTTCTCTGTCTGCAGACAAGACAACAACTATTTTCTCAAAACAAAAAACAGTGAAAAATAGAGAAAAACAAACAACAAACACAAAAACCAACTCCTTTGTGGCTTTTTGTGAATGGTGTGGTGTGAAATGAGGTTGAAAAGGGAAAGATAAAACAACCAAACACACACAGCACACTCCACCATTAAAAACATTTTTTTTAAAAAAAAAATCTCACTCTAAAATATCCACCATAAATAAAATTAATAACCCATTTTCTCCAATCTCTCTCTCTCCCTCCTCCCCCATATTTCTCTCTCTGCATCTCTCTATGGCCTCCAACAAGTCCACTTTACTAATCCTCTTCTTCTCCATCTCCATAACCATACAATTCCCAACAAAAACAAGCTCCACCTCAATCCCCACCAATCCTGATCATCAGCAATCAGACTCGGACTGCACCAACCGTTGGATCCATATCAGACGGCTGCCGCCCGTCTTCAACCTCGATCTCCTCTCAAACTGCTCCGGCTACCCATTGTTTTACGACTTCTGCCCGTACTTGGCCAACCATGGCCTGGGCCAGAAAACCCACAACCTCTCCCACAGCTGGTACCGGACCGACCCGTTAATGCTGGAGCTCATTTTCCACCGTCGGATGCTCGAATACCCATGCCTCACCGCAGATCCCCAGGCCGCCGACGCCATCTACGTCCCGTACTACGCCGGCATCGACGCCCTCCGCTACCTGTACGGCCCAGATTACAACTCCAGCTCCGAGCAGGGCCTCAATCTGTTCGAGTTCTTGACCACCGACTCGCCCGAGTCGTGGAATCGGAAAATGGGTCATGACCATTTCATGGTTCTCGCCCGACCCGCTTGGGATTTCTCTCAGCCGCTGGGAAACGACCCGCCTCTTTGGGGCACTTCGTTGCTCGAATTGCCGCAGTTTTACAATGTGACGGCTTTGACGGTCGAAACTCGCGCCTGGCCCTGGCAGGAGCACGCCGTGCCTTACCCGACGTCATTTCATCCGCCCAATTTGTCTCTGTTGGAGAGCTGGGTGCAGAGGGTGAGGAGGTCTCGGCGCACCACGCTTATGATGTTTGCCGGCGGTGGAGGGGTTGGACGTAATCCCACCATTAGGAGGAGCATTAGAAATGAGTGTGAAAATAACACCATGAACAAAAATGTCACAAATGTTAACAATGCGGGCATGTATGGAAGTGGTGTTGGTGGGTTTTCAAAGCTCTGTGACGTTGTAGATTGCTCCAATGGGATTTGTGAGCATGATCCCATTCGGTTCATGAGGCCAATGTTGCAGGCAAGTTTTTGTTTGCAGCCTCCCGGGGACACCCCGACCAGGCGGTCCACCTTCGACAGCATTGTTGCTGGCTGCATTCCCGTGTTTTTTGAGGAATCGTCCGCTAGGGCTCAGTACCGGTGGTACCTGCCAGAGGATCAGTTCGGGGAGTTTTCGGTGTTTATAGCCAAGGAGGATGTGGTGTTCAAGAAGACAAGGATTTTGGATGTGCTTAGGAGCATACCAAGAGGGAAAGTCAGGAGAATGAGGGAGAGAGTGTTGGAGATGATACCAAGAATTATGTATAGGAAGCATGGAAGTTCAATCGGTTTGAGAGCCAAGAAAGATGCTTTTGACATTGCAATTGAAGGTGTCTTGCAGAAGATTAAATCTAGAGGTCAAGTTTTTGCTCAGTGACCTACCTGAGATTTTGCCTTTTTCTTCTTGTCATTCTGTAATTGTAATTATTAATTTGTTTGTCTTTGTACTTAGTTATTTATGTATGCCACTTGATAAACCAATTCAGCAGTATAAGATAAATTTGAACTCTGTTCTCTCTACTCTGGTTTCGGAAAATGTTCATTACACAAATGAGTTAAAGATACAGAATTGTGATTCAAAAAACAAAAATAAATAAAATTATTGGACTGAGGAAGAAAGAATACCTTTTTATTGAGGGTACCAAAGCTACAAAAAAAAAGTATGGAAAGAAAGGAAACAAAAGGGAGCTGATGGAGATTATGACACTGAAACGTCCCCCAACATCCAACACATTTGGAATGTGAAGCAAGAATTGCAAAACTGTGCTTCATAGGATTAGGATGTTCTCTATCTGGGAAGGAGGGATCAAGTTTCAACCCCATCTGAAAATAGTAGAACCCCAAGTCAGACCTGCTCCAAAGCCGGCAGCTGCAATCGTATGGCCTGGTTTCACCTTCCCGCTTCTCACAGCTTCATCCAATGCCAAAGGAATCGAAGCAGCACTTGTGTTACCATAGTTTGCCAAATTTGAAATCACCTGTTCTGATGGGATTTGCATGCGAGAAGAAACTCCATCAAGGATCCTCTGGTTTGCCTGCATTGATTTATCTTCGTTATAACCCATTACCCATCACCTTTGACCATTATCAGAACAATAAATACAATGTCGCTTGTTTACTCCGAAACCCTTAGGTGATTAAGAAGCTAACTTTAAGAACTATTTTCCTGCAAACTTATATTTTTTATGAAGAAAAAAACAAAGCATTATTCTCAGAACTGTACCAGTTTCATTCACTTAACATACATGACAGGCTGGTATAGTTTTGGAAATCAAGAATTATTAGGCTGATGTTAATTGCCTTAGATATGTCTATTTTCCACCCTAAAATATTTTTTCTAGAAATTCGACATGATGCGAGAAAAATATAATAGTCAAATGATGAATTATATGCAAAGCCCCAGGCGGACTGTCCAAAGAAATCATGCTTCATACCTGATGGAGCAGTAACCAATCAATGCTAGATGCCGGGAGACCAGCCTTGGCAAGGGCAGCCTCAACTGACTGTGGCACAACGCGCACAGCAAAGCGAAAGACCTCTTTACCATTCATTTGAAGGCAGGAAAATGAGGCGCGTCTTGGAGGGAAACCTAAGACTGAACCATTAGAACCCAACTCATCTGTTTCACTTTCTTTGAAGGCAGCATTTAGATGTCTGCAGAGAGAGGGAGAGAGAGTCGAGCAGTCATGTATCAGAGAGGAAAAAATGATAAGTGCCCCCAGTCATAATCAACATGAACACCTTAAGATATTGCACTCGATAAAAAGGTCAAAAGAAAAAACAAAAACAGAAATCGAGAAAACACAAACCTGTTTCCGTCACCATCACTATGCAAATCAAAAGCAAGCAAAGAATCGTCCTCACTATCGCAGGCCTACATAATTATGGCAATTTCAAATAAGTGGAATGAAATGTTTCGCAACTAGATCTCCACTAACAACTTAACTCATCAATTTTGGAAATGGCGAAATTAAGATAGTATGATATGAGTTTCTAAAAAATTGGAAACAGAATTTGCTGCCAAATAAAGCAAAGTTCAAAGTCACTAGGCGACAGGGAACCCACCACCCTTATCTAGAAAACTAGGGCATGTTAGATATGTCAAAACTTCAATAAGACACATAAACACACCTGTACTAATACAGCACCAGCAGCATCCCCAAAAAGAATACACGTTCCTCTATCGGTCCAGTCAACAAACCGAGAAAGAGCATCAGCTCCAATAACGAGAACATTTTTGAATCCACCTCCTGTAGTTTGCGCATTATAGTTTAATCAATTAAACATGAAAGTAACAGTGGCCTCCTTACAGCAAAGTAAACCAAGTCGTTACCCCTAATGTGACAAGCAGCTGATACTAGACCCATAACAAATCCGCTACAGGCAGCTGTAATATCATAAGCCAAAGGGTTCCTTTTGCAGCCAAGTGCTTTCTGAACCTGAAATTACAATATAAAACAAATTTAAGAACTTAAGAAGCTACCATATTGAATAAAACAGCATAAACACTCA